AAGTTTCAAAGTCTTCTTCCACTTCAGGTAGATTATCCTTCACTTGAGTTCTTTTTTCGCCGTCGCAAGATTTCATATCGGTTGAATATTTCTTTTAAATGTGAAGTGAAGCAACCTTTACTTCTCCGAAAATCGTCTTCTTTATCTTAGTTTCTATCTCCTACATTCACAGTGGCGGCTCAACACATCAAATACAAGCTCTTAGGTAAACTTCTCACATAAGTAGAAAAAATTCCTCGCGCCGCCATCTTTAACTCTGTTTTGTTTTGTTGTTTTCCAGACAGTACAGGCTGGAAAGAGAACTAAAAAGTAGACTGTGGAAGATCGACTATAATCAACTAGGCTTTGAGCGAAGAGCATCAAACACATCATTAGCAAGTGCCATGGTATACTTTTAGACCCACAAGAAACACTGGTCATGTCTTTTTTAGTTTGATATATATTTCTGCGAGATTAATGCATTTGTAGGCGTTCAGAACTTCTAAAAGCAATGCTGTAATGCCATAATTATGCTGTTATGAGAGATGTGGCTGATTATAACCGTGAAGGTCCAAAGAAAGGGTATATGAGAGAGAGAGAGAGAGAGAGTTTCAGCAGGAGGGCAACTGGTTTTCACAGGCGGGCAAAACTTTTTGAACTAAACTTCTTTATAAGATAAACCTTCCTCCAGATTGTTAAACCAGGTGGGCAAAACCATCCTTACAACTGGTCAATTTGGCCGGTGCCCGGCCCTTAATGAAACCCCTGTTTGTCTAGAAGATTAAGACATTTTATCTTGTAGTCTGATCTTCTGGGTGAAAGTAGGCCAAACAAGGACTGTTGGCTTTTGTGTAGAGACTGATGTTTCAACAACCTCAGTGGATACATGATTTATTGTATGATTGTAACAATGTCTGTAATGTTTCAAAGTCAAAGTTAGGGTTCTTTTCTTTTTTGTATTTGTAACAGGCATTCAGGGTTACAGAATACATCTAGACAACAATGGTGATGCACAATTCAACTTGACTCTGTTAGATATCAGAAAGAAACCAGGTGCCAAGATTCCATATGGTAAGTTATAGGTCTAAGGTGAAATACAGCATGCAGGTGTCAGTTTGTCACTGAAGCTCAAGACATAGAAGTTAACAGGTGTCTCAAATTAAAAAGGAAAAAGTTAATGTTTGAGGGCATAAATATGTATTCGGAGCTTGTGGGTGGACTGAAATACTTAAATGTCTATTTTAGGTCTCAAAATGTGCTATGATGTCCCAGAAAGTGATAAGAAATTGACAGTAACTTCTGTGCATGATGTCAGTTAATTATACACAGAAACATGTTTCTAAAATCAGTGCAATGTGAAATAGTGGATAAGATCAATAACAATTTGGAAATTGTCTAATTTAAAAACAGCATTGTTTAATATTTGCAGAATTAAAAAACTCTTTATTGCTGTCTTTAATCAAATTTCAGTTTTTCAGTCAGGATCCCACCAACATTTCTCCTGGCTGGTTGATCCTCTACCTTGCTATGTGTAGTGATGTGTTGTTTGTATGTTTTCTCACAGATTTTGTTGAAGTTGGAGATTTCCAGATAAAGTATGGTAATTTGTCTAGTAATGGGTCTCAGACAGGCTTTCCTCACCTTGTGTTCCGTAAAAACTTTACCAAACTTTGGGTGGGTGGAAGTAGAATAGCACCCAGGGACCGTCCCAAGTGTGGATTTAACAATGAGCTGTGCCCACCCCCACCTATGGAGACGAAACCTCCAGGTAATATTGAATGTGCAATGCGTGTGTTCCAATGAATTTTGATTGGAGTGAATTAGTGTTCTTGAAGAGTCAGAGCAGAAAATGCTCTAGCTATTACTCGGCATTTTCCAGCTAAATTCAGGTATCAATGGCCTGAGCTGTTTTTTTTATTCCAACATGAATAATATTTCCTGTGACTTAACACTCCTTTCTTGCCATTACAGCCTGTTTTTTTAAGCTTAAACTCCCAGAAGTGATCAATCTTTGACTTCTCATGGTTTCAATGCATTTTCTTGTAAAGAGTTGATGAGAACTACAAAACTCAACAGCCAGAATTTGGTGTTTTCACTTAAAATTAGTCTTCAAATGGAGAACAGAGCTTAAAATTTGCCATCCACATATTCTGCTTGCACACTTTGTCATAATTTTTATTTCAACTCTTGCTAATTTTTTTTCTTGCCAATTAATATTTCTAACTTTGAACACCATTCCATCCTTATACAGACAGCAAAAAAGAAATAATTGCTGGAGTTTCGTGCGGTCTGGGTTTCCTTGCTATTCTTCTTGTGATCAATTTAGTCAGGTGAGTAACAATGCTTGCACCTTGTGTGGCTGAAATGATTGTTGTCAAAAGTATGTCTGAAAATATAAGAAGACAAAGTGTATTTAACCCTTTAAATAACTCCCAGAAATGATGAACATGTAACATCTCCCTTAAATATCCATGTATTCTCCACCAAACAGGTTATAAGAATACTCAGACTTATCAGGTAGTAGTTGCTTTCGTGATCCAACACCAATTTCTTGTAACTAATTTACAAGGAAATGACGATTGTGTAGTAGCTAGGTGGGGGAAGACTAGAAACTGTATTACCGGTAAGTATATCCTTAGTAGAGTTTACTTTACAAAATGCAAAGTGGTACATTAAACTTTACCCTGATGAAGTTTTCTCTTGAATGTGCGAGTGAGCCAATTTCGTAGAAATTTTCAAAACGCAGGGTAATTCTTGAAGAACTCTGTCATGGTTTCCTTCAGTGGTCTTCAGTGGTCTTGTTATCGGTTATGAAGGACCTAAAAGGAGAATAATTTTCTTAAGGTGGCTCGTACCGGTTTTCATCTTTTTGATGGTTTGTAACTTTGAAATAATACAACAGAAAGACTGATCAAGGCCAGTTGAACACTTTTACGGGGTTGAATTATATAATTATTGGTTATCCAAAAATAGGTGTCATTTCGTCACTAGCAGTTTCCATGGCAACGCTTTCATAGGCTTATTCAGACGCATTTTTTAGCTTGTGGCTTAAATACTTCAAAAACTAACCCGGTGACCCCCTGATTTTTTTCAGTGATTGCTTTTGGCACTTGAAAAGGAAAATGCACAAAGATTTTTAAAAAATTCTACGGAGCGGAATTTCAGAAAATCTAGAAAAAAGGCAATTTTCACACATCGCAAATTACCTTCCGTAGAATTTTCTAATTTTTTTTCTGATGATTCCTTTCGACGTTATTATCATATTGGAACAATAAAAGGAAGGGGTCACCGGACTTGTTTTCATGCAATAGCTTTCGTGAGTTTAGCAATTTCCACGCGCGTTCTCGCGCATTTAAAAATCTGGATTCTATAAGATCGACATTTGCTCATGATCTGTTTTAGCTACCGCCTACCGCTGACAATTGCGTGTGCTCGCGCGAGCACCTACGATCTGATGTTTACAGACGTTTACTGCTAAGAAAATCATTAAACAGCCGTCAAAGACAGCCTCCCGAGCTCATCTTAAAAATCCTACACACGACTTCTGGCTATATCATATTATTTTCCTTGAAGTTTCAAAGTCTTTTTCCACTTCAGGTAGATTATCCTTCACTTGAGTTCTTTTTTCGCCGTCGCAAGATTTCATATCGGTTGAATATTTCTTTTAAATGTGAAGTGAAGCAACCTTTACTTCTCCGAAAATCGTCTTCTTTATCTTAGTTTCTATCTCCTACATTCACAGTGGCGGCTCAACACATCAAATACAAGCTCTTAGGTAAACTTCTCACATAGGTAGAAAAAATTCCTCGCGCCGCCATCTTTAACTCTGTTTTGTTTTGTTGTTTTCCAGACAGTACAGGCTGGAAAGAGAACTAAAAAGTAGACTGTGGAAGATCGACTATAATCAACTAGGCTTTGAGCGAAGAGCATCAAACACATCATTAGCAAGTGCCATGGTATACTTTTAGACCCACAAGAAACACTGGTCATGTCTTTTTTAGTTTGATATATATTTCTGCGAGATTAATGCATTTGTAGGCGTTCAGAACTTCTAAAAGCAATGCTGTAATGCCATAATTATGCTGTTATGAGAGATGTGGCTGATTATAACCGTGAAGGTCCAAAGAAAGGGTATATGAGAGAGAGAGAGAGAGAGAGAGAGAGAGAGAGAGAGAGAGGGGCCTGATAGGGAGAGAGGCTCGGTGGAGCGTTTGCGGTACTCGGAATTTTTACTGAATTAATTGTTTGGGGAGCTGTTTCCGGTCGAAGGGCAGACACAAATTTTTTTTTTTGGAACAGAGGGACACAAATGAAGAAGCCATGCCCCTGATGAGGGAAGAGAGCAGTGATGGAAAAATCACCACTGTGGGGAGCTACAAGGTAATGTGAAACATGTGGATCTTAACAGAAACTAAAAGTCAAGTCAAGAAAAGCCAAAGCTATTCTGAATTCCTTTCTACCCTTTGTCGTAAAAGGGCTTTACTGAATTAAAGTAAATTGTTAAATTTATCAAGAAACTTTCTTGACCTGCAGGGAAATATGGTTACAGTGGCTAAACTTCCCAAAGGACATTTAGATTTGACGAGGAAAGTTCTTTTGGAGCTGAAGCAGGTATCTCGTTTGTTTGACTTAGTTGTGAGTACAGGTGATGTTTTGCTGAAGGAAAGATTGGAAATTATACTTACTATACAGGCATATTTTATTGCGAAGGAACGCTGTGTTTCCTTTTCATGAAATTTGTCGCCGCCATACTAATAACAAAGGAAAGTTAAGGCGAGAAAAATCTTTTTCCCAGGGCGTGGTGGGTAGGGTCCATGGGGATGGGAAAGGAGTGTGGGGATCTTCCCCACCTTAAAACCAGCAGTTATAGTTGATGTCCTATAAAACGTTAAAGATCGGAGTACCAGATATTTGAAGTTGATCAGCTAAAACTTTATATCATACCTTTGGAAAATGTTACGCAAAGCTTAGCAGCATCTTTCAAATTGAATTTTCTTCCATCTCGTTTTTCATTTCCTTGGTAACATTGACAAAACGCGAAGCAATCATTTTGAAATGCAGTGCCTCTGCTATAATCACCTCACACGAGGTGATGATAGCGAGTTATGAAGCAATCCTGGACCAATCAGAGCGCGAGAATCTATATAATCACCCGAGCAATTACTAAACTTTGTTGCTCTTGCTGATAGAGCTTTATAGTGCTCCAATTCTGCGTGGAAAGCAGCTTTCTCACTGTAAGATATAAGAGGAATTTTGAAAGTGATCGCTAACCATCCTTTTTCTTTTGTTAGATGAGGGATATTAGACATGACAATTTGAATCAATTCATTGGTGCTTGTGTGGAGCCAGAAATTTGTATCGTAATGCAGTATTGTTCCAGAGGAAGTCTACAGGCAAGGATTAGACCGAAAACCTTTTTAAAAGTATCTCCTTAGACTCGGAATTGGATATTTTTTCTATAATTTTCCATTTCTCTTAATCCTCTTATTCCCAAGACACTTTGGGCACTGCTGATCCTAGCGCATGACACAAATGAACCTAGTTATAGATTAGCTCACATGAAATACTCTGTGATTCAGTGCCTCACAGTGCCTCTCTTCACCCAGGTGATTAAATGGGTTGCGGCGAATTAAATGCTGGGATCCCATTCAGGGGGGGGGGAGGGGTAGAAATACTCCTGGTGGCTTCATTATACGGAAACAGGAGTTAAGCGCCGGCCTCATGGGCCAGTTGGCCCATAAACCTTTTTTACCCATAAACCTTTTTTACCCATAAACCTTTTTTACCCATAAACCTTTTTTACCCATAAACCTTTTTTACCCATAAACCTTTTTTACCCATAAACGTTTTTTACCCATAAACCTTTTTTACCCATAAACCTTTTTTAGTGGTAGAGAGCATCGGAACGCGAAATCCGAAGGTGCGAGGTTCTACTCCTCGTGGGGCACTCATATTTTATCCCTTTCCCCACGCTTGGTAGAAAACATTTGACGTTTTCCTTTGTTGCTCCCCAGTATTGAACTATGATTTACGTCTTTCAGGACATTTTAGAAAATGAAGACGTCAAACTGGATCACATGTTCATAGCTTCACTCGTGGCGGACATAGTGAAGGTAGAAAAATTTGATCTTCGGATGGTATCTATTGGACCATTGTTTGTCCATGAGGTCTTGACTACGCTAGTTAAAATTGGATGGAGTCGACAGAGACATAAGTTTTTTTATAACATAACCAAAGTAAAGCGCGCGCTCTGATTGGTCAATTTAGCGTCCCCCATTTTCTCATGGGTGTACGCTGCTGACGTGAGCAAATGCAAAGACTATTTTTCCGCGCGCGCTTGTTTTTTCTGGTCACGTAAGATTTGTTAAATAAAAGGGAACTCTTTAGCTACAATGTATCAATGATATGTTATAAAACAAATGGTAAACACCACACCGTACACTATTGAGTTATGGATGCACTTGGGAGGTTTGCTAAGCACTCAAGAAGCTAGAGTCGCTCTCGGCTATCGCCTCGAGCGACTCTTACGCTTCTTTCGTGCTTAGCAACCTCCCGCGTGCATCCATAACTCAATAGTGTACGCTGTGGTGTTTACCATTTGTTAATTATTTCGCCAATTCTAAATCCACGTTTGTTTTCTTTTCAGGGTATGGCGTACATGCACAGTACAGATGTGAAATCTCACGGTAATCTTAAGTCATCCAATTGTTTGGTGGATAGCCGCTGGGTATTGAAGATCACCGACTATGGTCTCCCTTCGTTTAGAAACAAATTGAAAAAGACCAGAGAAGACTACGCTTATTACCGAGGTGAGAGGACTCACAAGGTGCTGGAAATATTTCCAGTAGAAAGTGTAAAACATAAACGTCTTATCAGCTTTTTAGGGATTGCCAAGTTTATTCTATTGAATAAGTTCTCTTGCGGAAAAGTAATATTAAAAAAAAAAAAACAGGGAGCCCTCACTTCAGAACCCCCTCTCTTTACTCACGCCTTGACTTCGGAAATTGAAATCTAAAGTGAAATTGAATTTTAAAATCCCTTACCCTTTGAATATGGTCAAGTATTTGGGAGAGGGCTAAGACAAGACAAAACTTCCCACAAAAAGCGACGAAAAGACTAAAATAGGCGGCAAGCGATTTTGGTGAGAGAATAGTGCTCGTCTATTTGCAAAATGTATTTTTCCTTCCGGAAAATAGAAATTATGAGTAATAGCATTGTCAAGAGTCATGAAGTCTTTGGTTAGTTTGTCTCATCAAAACTTCAGGTCGTGAGACCACTTGTCACGGAATCGCAGGTCCTGAGACCACTTGTAACGGAATCCCAGGTCGTGAGACCACTTGTCACGGAACCCCAGGTCGTGAGACCACACCTCATGTTACATCAGGACACCTCGTGCCTGTCATGTCACGATACTTTTTTCACGTGAAATTATGTCATGCTACTTCATGTCTGTTGTTATCTCCTCGCACATTTCCTACTGATTTCTCACAAAAGTGAGATAGGACTAAAATCCGATACCGATTGTCTATTCTTTCTTGGTATCCTTTGTAGACTTACTTTGGGTAGCGCCGGAACTGTTACGAATTCCAAATCGTCCCTTGAGGGGATCCCAAAAAGGCGACGTTTATAGCTTTGCTATAATTTTACAAGAGTTCCACACGAGAGAAGGCCCTTACAGTGCAAATTTCATGGAACCAAAAGGTAAGTTGGCTCTGCTGGCTTACGATGTTAAAAGCATTTGTTCATTTTGATCACCATGTCTTCACTGCTGGTTATAAACTCTTGGCTTCATTTTGCTGGTAGCTATTCTTCCATTGGAATCAGGAATCGTAATTTGTGTTCTTTGTTGCTCTAGACATTTTCCGAAGGTTAAAGGATGGCGAGTTTCCACCCTTCCGTCCGACAGTAACAACATTGATAACTGGCGTGGAGGAGCTGCGAGAACTGATGAAGCAATGCTGGCACGAGAACCCGGAAGAGAGACCAGACTTTCACGAGATTAAAAAGATCATGCACAAAGTCCTGGTCAACAATGGCATGTAAGCTGTCAAGATTTTCAGGCATCATATTTTGCCCTAACCAGTTTTAACTTGTAGGGGAGGGGAAGGTAGGGTTATAGTCAGCATTAAGCATTTCAACTGCTTTTCCCCTACAGTTCTAAACGATGATTGCCTTTGGTATTCCCTTATTAGGAAGACGAATATCTTCGATAATATTGTTTACATGATGGAAAAGTACGCTGATAACTTAGAGGAACTCGTCATGGAACGAACCGGCCAGTTGATCGAGGAGAAGAAGAAGACGGATGCACTTCTGGAAAGAATGCTTCCAAGGTGCGTCAACTTTAAATAACAATGAACGAGTGGTGCGCCCTTTTAGAGATTGCTTAGGAGTAATAGTTCAGCTGTCGGTAACTAAGTCATTTAACTAGAGGCTAGATTTCTTCATGGCTTTATGGCATGTGAAAGAGCTGAAGTTAAATAAGTACCCATGCTCGCCCAGTAACAGAGAAAGATGTTGACTTGGAGCGCGTTACTGTCGATATGATGTTATGAAGACTTTTTGTGTTAAAAAATTACTGACATCTTCGTGTTTTCAAGGCGAAGTCTGTCAAAAGTTGTCTAAACAAATCCGAAAAAGAGTTAGTTCCACGTGAGTTCGATTTAAATCCATTATCATTGCTGTGCCAGTGAGAGCGCAAGATTTCCGAACTATGGAAATCACCAGAGTAGGTCGATAGTGCGTTTTAAGTTTCGCGTTTGCTTTCGGTTATAAGATAAAACTGGTGGGGAAACGCAGATAAACGCGATGTTTACAGTGGGTGGATAAAGAGGGAGAATTAGACAGTGTAACAGTACGAAGAGGACTGCAAATGTGGACGTGGAAACAAAGCTCGATTAAAAAACTGAACGAAAGCATGTACGTTCGGTTTGACTGCGCGGTCTAAGACCTGAGGTAAGACGCAATATCGCCACAGAAAGTCGAAAAAGGCAATAGAAGGAGATAGCGTTTGATCATGAATCAGAACTGGATTTACACTAGCACTGACGCACAAGATAATGTCAGGAAGTTGGATAGCCAAGCCCACGAAAATAGTTAGAAACAAAGACAGTCAGCCAGTTTTAGAAGTTGCATGGATCCACGGACCCCTCCAAAGGAAGATAACGTCTTTGCTAGTCAGATTTTCTCAGGGTAAGTGTAGCTGAATTTCATCACACGGTTTTCGTTGTCTGCGTCGGGTTGAACTCGACTGGGCTTCGCTTGAAATTTTTTGTTTTTTTCGGGTTCCATTGCAGACCAGTGGCCGAGCAACTTAAGAAGGGCCAAGGAGTAGAAGCAGAGAGTTTTCATGAAGTGTCGATCTACTTCAGTGATATTGTTGGATTCACCAGCCTCTCCTCGGGGAGTACACCGATGCAGGTACGTCGTTCGGTAGTTGCTCTTGTCCGTCCGGGGCGAAGGGCAGGCAACTCGACCACACTCTTTACCCTCACTTACCAGCAATATCGCATCCTCCGGACAATTCTTTTACTCCTCGAACTTTAACTAAATATTAGTCAAGCGTTTATCTGTTTTTTCGGCCAATTGCCCATTGTAGTGCGTGGCTAGGCAAAGCCATTTCATTTCTAGATTGCCTTTGCCTTCAAATAGAAAATAAGGCAATTTAGGAGAATTTGACGCAAATAAAACGCGATTGTCTTTCAAACAGGTTGTGACTCTTCTTAATGATCTTTACACGCTGTTTGATAACATCATTCAGGAGTACGACGTGTATAAAGTAAGTGCATATGAGATGTTTGAAATTGGAAACGTTTTTCGAGGTTGCGCTAGTAGGTTAGTTTAAAACCGGTTTCTCGTGTTCAGGTGGAGACGATTGGCGACGCCTACATGGTGGTATCAGGCCTACCCATCAGAAATGGCCACGAGCATGCTGGTGAGATATCCCGAATGGCACTGCATCTTGTGGAGGCAGTGCAGACAGATTTTAAAGTTCGACACAAACCGGATCATCAGCTTAAGCTCAGGGTTGGACTTCATAGCGGTAAATCATAATTCGTTTGTGTTTCATGACCGTACATGTCTTACAAATCAGAGAGCAGAGGGAAAGTTTACTTTTAACCTTAAATCAGTGGTAGTTTTTGTAATAACAGAATTCATCCGGTTTCAAAAACATATATAGTATTGGAATTTATAGATTCGTACAATGTACAGGTGAGAGAACAATAAGATACGTAGTCCCCTACTAGTTTCACCCACCTTACCTACCCATCCCATCCCAGGGGAGGACATCCATCACACAGCAATCTCGGGCGTGGGAAATTAACGTCTCCTACCCCAAACCCTGGAGGAGACGGGACCTCCATTTGTTCGTCTCTATCCGAGAAGGCTAGAATATCTAACCATTTCTTTGATGTTATAGAAAGGTAGCATATTCTTCTCAATTATTTTAAGACCTTGAGTATTGTTCCGGCCGGGGCTCGAACCCTCGACCTCCCGCACAACAGTTCAGCAAAGACCACACAGTACCCCCTTTGTCTTATAACCCTTTACACCCTAATATCATTGTGCATATTCTCCATACTGTTTTCCTAGTATTTCTTAAGGTCCTGCAAAGGAGAATTTGTTGAGCAATCACGAGCTACTTTAGTTGGTGATCATTTCCTTTATTCTCCTGACCTCAGTATGTGATTAAGTGGTGATATTGTAAGGAGAAATTAGACGCTAGTTGCTGTAAGGGATCAAAGGGTTAATGATTAAACGTGCTAGTTGGAGTGTTTTTGATTCCATGATAACTCCTGCCTCATGTCTAACTAGTTATTCTGGTTGCCTCATCTCGCAGGTCCAGTCGTTGCAGGCGTGGTCGGTAACACTATGCCCCGTTACTGTTTGTTTGGTGACACTGTGAATACTGCCTCTAGAATGGAATCCAATGGAGAAGGTGAGTTTATGAATGAATGAATGAATGGATGAACTTTAATAATTACTCCTGAACAGGCTTTTCAGCAACTATTTACAATGGTAGACAATTTACAATCACAAATGAACAACTTAAAATAGGGTAATAAAAATGAAAAAAAAAAAAAAATATATATATATATATATATATAACTAACTGCAGACAGTACTGTTTCGGCCTTCTGGGCCTCATCAGTGCAGTGCTAATGCTAGGATGGGGGAGAACCGAGACGGTCACCCCAAACGACCCAACCTTTGTGGTATCGTCTAAGCCATGCCAGAGTGCTCAAACTAGAGTAAACCAGCGAGCATGCGCAATTGCAACGGCAATGACTCATCCTAGATAGAGTGCTCAATTTGGACATGAAAGCAAAGCTTTGTATGCCAAAGAGCTATATATATATATATATGTACAATGGGTATCATATAAAGACTATTAATGTGCCCATCTTAGCGAGTCCTTCAAAGAATGTTTCAGTGACTTTACTGAAGGCAAGTTCACTAGGTCACTATTCAGGGAATTTAATTGTGAAACTGCTCTATAGGCAAAGGTTCGTTGTTTATTCAACATTTTCTATAATTCTTAGGACACAAATTTACAGACATAAAATGACCATGAAATCTTTTTTTCTCAAACAACTTATGGTTTATCTCCATCCCTTTTCCTCCTCTTAATATCATGCGGCGACAATATTTAACAATTATTCGCCGAAGGCGAAGAGAATATCGTCGAATAATCCCCAAGACGAATGTTTTAGTATAATTTCAGAGCTGAACAACAGAGAAATTTCTAAAATCATAACATTTTAGTAACAATTATTAACATTTTATTTTAACATTTTATATAACTCTCAAAAACGAAACAACAACTTTGAGTTTAAATTTACAAGACATGTTTCGACATTCTCATGTCATCTTCAGTTGCAAATGAGCATTTGACGGTTGTACATTTGAATTTATATTCAGGTTCGTTACAAAGTACGTGTAGGGCTACGTTACAATTTGAATATTTAAATACGCGAAAAATGTAAATAGCGTGCGAATGTCGAAACTTGTCTTGTAAATTTAAACTCAAAGTTGTTGTTTCTTTTTTGAGAGTTATTGTCACTCTGCTGTCTTTACGTCCTTTTGGTAACATTTTATATAAACCGTGTGGAGCGGTTTATATAGCGTCATATAAGGAACCGCTCGACCAATCAGATGCTGGAAACTCTTTGCTCAGCTCTGAAATTATACTAATTTAGCATATTGTGGGGATTGGTTTCCGTAAGTTGGAGAGAATTGCTTCGGGACGTCAATAGTCAAAACTTGTACTGGCTGCAACATGTCTCTTAACCAGTGTCTTTAAGGTCCTTTGACGTTTCTAAAGAAAGGGGAAGTTATTACTCGCATTAAAAAAAATTTCCATACATCATTATTTTGTTTTTAAATCCTTTCTTGATTTTTGGGCATAACTTACATATTATATATAAGTTATGAGTCGAATTGCCTTGCTTCCGTAATGCCAGTCAAGTTAATAAAGCCCAGATTCGCTACTTGAGTCTATCGCTGTCTGTTTCTGTCGATCGAATGTTCAAATTCTAAAAATAAAACATTCATGAATCTAATAATGTTCGCTAATTTCTATTTTGCAGCTCTTCGTATTCATATCAGTGAAACTACCAAGGGCATACTTGACGATCTCGGTGGATTTGAAGTTGAAGAAAGAGGAGAAGTGTTTTTAAAAGTATGAAAGAGAGAATTTAACTTGTAAATGTAATGTAGTTTACTTAATTGAACATCGATGAGCTACCAGAGCTCGTTTTGTGATTGACGGAAACCACATTCATCAAGCGG